CAGAAAGCGAGAAATCACCCCCCAGGAGGGATGGTCACGCCGCAATCCCTTCTCTTCCATTCTCCTCTTGGGATCTTAGGCACGCATGCACACGCGCCCGGCGTGAGTTTTAAGCCACCAGGTCCGGGACGCGAACCGCGGTCGACTACATGGGAGTCCAGCGACATAGCCATTACGCTAACTGCTGATTCCTTTTATTTATTTATTTATTTTTTGGACTGTAGGGCATATGCGCTCACCAGAGAAACAGAAGGCAAAAAATCAACCCCTGGGGGGATAGCCATGCTGCAATCCCTGTCCTCTATTCTCCTTTCGGGATTTGAGGCACACATGTACACACGCCCAGCGTGTTTCAAGCCACTGGGTCTGGGATTCAAACCGTGGTTGACCATGTGGGAGTCCAGTGCCTTTACTACTACGCCACCTGCTGCTCCCTGCCAGGTATGTTTTTCAAGCTGCTGGGCTGGGATTTGAACTGCAGTCAGCCATGTGGGACTATATATATATATATTTTTTTTTTTTTAATTTGCTATAGGGTATGCGAGCTTCCCAGGGAGAGAAGGAAAGTGAGAAAGCAGTCCCTAGGGGAAGATGGCCACACTGCAATCTCTTCTCCATTCTCCTCTCAGGATTTGGGGCACAAACACACAGGCACCTGGCGTGTTTTTCAAGCTGCCAGGCCTGGGATGTGAACTGCACACTCAGTCCTATGGGACCCAGTGCCTTAACCACCAGGCCATAAGCTGGCCCCAACATATTTTTTGAGTTAAAGTTTGCTTCTTCCTTGAGTGAGAGAAACAGGGTGAGAGATGGGGAGAGTGCACCCCCACCAGGGTCTGTAAGCCATGCTCCACCCCGGCCTTGGCCAGCCCCGGGTCACGGGCACGCCTGTGCCCCGCATGCTCAGGGAGGCCTCTGGATGCAGACCCGGAAGCCCCCCACGCGGGTCAGCCCCGCAGGGTTGTATCTTTCTGCTGCACCACGGTCTGCACCTCACTCAGCCAGTATTTGTGGAGCCCCACTGTGTGCCGTTGCTGGGGCCGAGTGCACGTGCACACACACCCTGGCTTCTGATGTCCGCGGCTCGCCGAGAGGAAACCGGTGTGTGTGTCATGTGCCCCCACTGTGCTCCCAAGGGCTCTTCCCACCCCCTGGAAACAGAGCTCCTTGCAGGCAGGATCCTCCCATCAGAGCGGGCCCTCCCCAGGGACTGGCCGTGACACCCCCAGTGGACTGAGTTGTTCTGAGACACCTCTCCCTCCCCTCCACGGTCAGGACTGCCAGATAAAATAAGGATGCCCTGCTAAATTCGAATTCCAGATAAACAAAATAATTATTTTAGTATAAGTATGTCCCGAATACTGCATGAGGTATACTTAAACTAAAAATGATTCCCTGTTTACCTGAGATTCAGATGTAACTGGGCACCGTGTGTTTCTTTGCTAAATCTGGAAGCCTACTCCTGGAGCTCACTCCTCTGGCTGGCACCTGGCCTGGCCAGATGGCCCAGGTCATGCCTGGACTTGGCCCCTGTCTGTCCAGTTACAGCTCCTCTTGGCCCCCAGGACTGTTGCCCCCTGCCCGGCTCCACCTGCAACCCTGGCTCCCAGGTGACACCGCCACCTACCAGCTGGCGCAGAGCCAGCCGTGGGCTATCAGGAGTGCTGTGTCCAGCCTCGGGCATGATGGGCCTGGAGGGCGGGGGACCATGAGCATCAGAGACAGGCAGAGATAAAGCGACAGGGAGAAGGGGCAGAGAGCCCAGACCGGGATGGAAGCGAGTTCGGGCCCTTTGTGCAGGGGCAGTGAGCCCCAGGGTTTGCCCAAGGGAACTAGGGTGAAGGGGACTAGGCTCCAGAGCCCCAGGCAGGCAGGGGGGAGCCCCGGGCTCTGCCACTCTCCCCTCACCCTACCTCCCAGGGGCAAACACAGGCACATTCATGGCTTCCCAGAAGGGCCTATGGGGCAGCCAGAGTGGCTTTTAAAATTAGCTTCGCTAACCAGATCTGGTTATTTCAGGAGGCTCCGTCCTGGGCTGTCCCCTTGACAGCGCAGGAGCCAGGAAAGAGGGAGGGACCTCCACATTCCAGGGTCCCTGGCTGAGCACCCCCTGTGGCTGAGCAGCAGAGAACGTTCAGGTCTCAGCCCCCTGGCAATGGGCCGGCCTGGGCCTGTGGCCATCCCTTTGGCAAAGTGGCCCCAGGGTTGGCCATGGATGTCCAGGGACGCTGCAGGCACAGAGGTGGAGCGGATAGGGGCATGCCCCTCATATCAGGTGGGGGCTCTGTGTCAGGCACCACGTAAGGAACTTAGCCTCTTCACAGCCACAGGCAGGGGCCTGGTCCTTGTGGACAGGGGGGGAAACGGAGACAGAGGCGAGGGGGCCGAGCTACAAGGCGGGGAGCTGGGGGAGGTCAGGTCTCCCAGGCATCCACGAGCCTCCTGCCTCTGGAGAAATGCCTGGCTGCTGTTTGTACCACCGGATCGTTTCTTTTTATTTTTGGAGAGGTTTCTGCTATAGGTTCATGCACTTGCCAGACAGACAGAGAGAGACAGAGAGACAGAAAGCGAGAAATCATCTCCCTGGGGGGATGGCCATGCCGCAATCCCTTCTCCTCCATTCTCCTCTCAGGATCTTGGACACACATGCACATGTGCCCGGCGTGAGTTTAAGCCACCGGGTCCAGGACTCGAACCGCGGTCAACTACATGGGAGTCCAGCAACATAGCCATTACGCTAACCGCTGGTCCCCCAGGTTGTTTCTAAGCCGAGCCAGTGCTTCCCAGACACAGTGCCCCCCACCCAAGCCCTAGTGTTGGCATCAGCAGAGCCTGGCTTGGACCTGGACTTGGACCTTGGACCTGCCCGGCTTGGACCCCAGAGCGAGCACAGAGCTGGCTCGGACACAGAGGAGGCAGCACTGGGCACTTGGATCCCGCAGGCCAGGTCCATCCTCAGCCTCCCTGACCCCTTTGGAGCCCTGAAGGGGCTGGAACCCTGACCAGAGGTCTTCATTGCCCACAGATGGGGTGGGGCCCATGCAACCAGGAAGAGGGGCGGAGGCAGGCTCCGGGGTGCTGCCCGCTGAGTGAGGGACGGCCCTGGGCCCGGTGTGCTCTGAAAGGGCTGTCTGGCTGCGGGCTCAGGGCTGTCCCTGACTGTTCAAAGTCTCGTGCTTGGTCACATGCGCTGGGCCAGGCCCGGGTTCCATGTCCTCCACGTACCGAGCTGCCCCTGCGTCCTGGGTTGACATGACCCTCATTAAAAGTTAATCACCTTTCCCCCACCCCACACATATTCCATTTTCTGCGCCCACCATATGCACCAAGAACTCTGAGCTGCCCTCTCAGTTAATCCTCGCAGCGGGGTACCGCCAAGGATAGGGCTCTTAGCATCGTTCCGCACAGACGGGGAAACTGAGGCCCACAGAGCCGACACTGTGTGCCAAGGGCACTGAGCCAGGAGGTGGGTGAGCCACAGCCAGCTCTGGAGGAGTTGTAACCCCGTGGGAGGCAGAGGGAACTGAAGGACCAGGGCCTGGGAAGGGGAGTTGAGGGCAAGTGGGGTGTGGCTGCAGGGTGTGCACCCAGCCCAGGGCTGAAGCCAAACCCAGGTCCGCGTGTGAGCCGTGGCCCCTGGGCTGCCGGAGGCATCGAGGCGTGGCACTGGCTCCACACAGCCATGGGAGGGCCGGGGTCTGCCAAGCTGTCCGAGAGGCCAAGGCATGGCTGATCCCATTGAAGCCTAATTCGGAGTTTGTGCACAAGCCCAGTGTCCCCAGCATAACTCCCCAAACCTATTCCACCTTTTGTGTCCTACTCGAGAAGACCCCCCTCATTTGCCCAGGCTGAACCCGAACCTTCCCTCAGCCAAATGTCCCATCAGCCACCTGTGCAGAGGCTAATGCCTCCAAGGCCTCCCAGCCCTGGCCATGTTCTCGCCCCTCGGTGCCCAGTAGCCTCCGGGTCCTCTGCTTGCTCCTGCTGACGCTGCCAGGAGTCTCCACCGAACCACCCCCTGCTGTTTTAGTTTTTGTTGGCTCTGGGGCACATGTGGTAGCTGGAGAGCAAAAGAGAAAGAGCAGGAAAGTGAGACAGCACACCCAGAGGGGAGGCCCCGCCACAGTCCCTTCTCCTCCATTCTGCCCTCGGGATCTTGGGCAGGCATGCACATGCGCCTGGTGTGATTTTCAAGCCAGTGGGTCCAGGACTCAAACCACAAAGTCAGCCATCCAGCACCCTAACACCCACACCACCCGCTGGTCCAACTGCTGCTTTTTTGGCTCCCGACTGCCCAGACATGAAGCCCTGGCTGCTTGGTCTGGCATTCAAGGCCACGTGGCCTCTGGCCGCACCTCTTCCTGGCTCCCGTTCTGTCACCAGCACTTGCCCACTTAGAGCCACTGCTGCTTTCCCAGGGCCGCCTTCCCCCCTGCCTACCTGTGCAGGTGCAGACCCCTCCTGGGGTGCCTCCTAAGCCTCCCCACTCCTGTCTCCCTCCCCCACCCCAGGCGACCCCTGCCACCACCCTCTGTGTTACTGTCCTACTCTGTGAGCTCTGGGGGCTGGGACCTTGCTGGGTTCATGCCATCCCCCTGGCCATCGGTCACAGAAAGCGAGCCCTTGGCACCCCCTGCTGGTCACTTGGAGAAATTCTTAGGATTCCCAGCACCTGAGAAAGAAGGAAAACCCGTCCCTACGTCCACAGAGCGCCCACTGGTCTGGACCTGTGTGCTGCTGCTGAACATGCACCAGTTCATCCCCGACCCTCGGGGGAGGTGACAGCTGGGGCTCGGTGCCAGCGCAGCCCGAGGTCTGCAGGCCTGTAGACTGTACTCCTCCTCCACAGGAGGGCAGCGCCATGGGGAGGAGGCCAGACCCAGGGGGCACAGACCCTGTGGGGTGGCCTCAAGGTGTCCTGGGACCCAGCAGTCCCAACGGCACCCGTGCCCCCCACCCCAGGTTCGGATCAACCCCACAAAGCCAGTCCCAACTCCAGGTACAATAGCGATAAATAGAATTTATTTTGTACAACTGTTACCGACATACACACGGCCACAGGGGCTTTCAAAATGGGTGCTGGGGCCAGAAGGCTGGCCTTTGGCGTGGTGCCTAAAAAGTGTGACAGACACACACAAGGACATGGACACAGCTGTGCCTGGCTGCCTCCCATCGGTGGTGGGAGGCCGGCTGGGACCCCTCAGCCTGGAGTGTCCGGGAGCATGGGATGGCAGGGGTTAAGCTGGATGCTGGCTGAGGAGCCGGCCAGACCCCTTCCCCTAAGGGGACTTGTCTGTCACGTGTAGGCAGTGGACAGGGCCTTGGCAGATCTGTGGTAGAGCTTGAGGGTCCTAGGGGGGCCACGGCACAGCCAGCTCCCTGCCCCTCAGCCCACCTGGGGCCCCAGCAGCCTCAAGAAGCAGGGTAGTGATGGGACGTCCCTGGGGGACAGTCCCCCGGCAGGTATATGGAATCGCCTCCAGTGACCTACAAGTAACCTCGTCTGTCTGTAGCAGAGATGCCCAGAGACGGACGGTGACTTGCCTGGTCACACAGCAGAATTCACATGGGAACCCAGGGCTCAGGACTCCCAGCCCAGGATTCACCCCACCACAGCCCACCTCCTGCAGCCTCCGTGGTGGGCGCCGCACTCACTAAGCAATCCCAGTACCCCCTGCTCCCCGAGTCCAGAGGAGTGCCCGGGGTGATGGAGGCCCAGGTGGGGGCAAGCCGGGCCTGCCGCCCTGCTTCAACCATCAACCCATGCCCAGCCAGACCCCCAGCCTGGGGGGTGGGGACGATGCCAGCAGCCTCCCCGCTCCCAGGTCTGGACGACTCCGCCCTGCAGAGATAGCCCGGACGTGGGCCAAGGGGGAGGCTGGGGTGGCCGTGGCTGCGTGGGCCACGGGGCTGAGGGCCGTCTAGACTCGACACAGCATCTTCTTGTGCTTCTGCGGCCTTGTCTGCAAGGTAAGGCAAAGGGAGATGCAGACGCTACAGCCAGAGGCAGAGCCTGGCAGGGCCCACCTCCGTACCAGGCTATGGGACCTCCCTGGACCTCTCCCCACCCCGGCACGGCCAGGTCTCTTTCAGGCTCCCCGCAAGTCCTCCCCACAACTCCTGGCAGAGGTGAGGTAGCACTGATTCACCCCCGTATGCAGACCAGGAAACTAAGACCCGGAGAGGGCCTGCAACCTGCCCCCATCACCCAGCAGCCAAGCAGAGAGGATTCGAACCCACAGCCCTCACCCCAGGAGATGGACAGGGAGAGGTCTCCTCCCCCCACCAGACCAGAGCTAAGGAGCTGGGCCTTACCTGTTCCACGTCACCAGAGGGCAGTCTGGCTAACAGCCCTGCAAGATGGACAGTGGTGGTGAGGCAGGGGCCGGGCAGACGAAGACGGGGCAGGAAACACAAGCAGGAAGTCACTGGCCATGCCCAGGCTGGGCGAGGCCAGTCCCTCCTGGTGTGGGGGCCTCAGGCCAGCCTTGACGCCTGGCCACACCAGCCGGTCCCCCCAGGGAGTGTACCTACCAGCTGGGACGTGTGCTGCTCAGATGCTTCCAGCTGGATCTTGATCTCGGGACACGCAGGGTCCCCCGACTTGGCGGCGTCTGGGTGGGGTGACCGCGAGGGGCCTGGGGAGGGGGGCAGGAGGGAGCCACCTCACTGGCCGCGGGGAGGCACCAGGGAGACGGGGAATGGGTGGACGGTTGGCACTGATGCTCCCCACCCACCCGGCCCCTCCCTCAGGGACCCCTGTAACCCTCTCCCTTGCCACCCCCAATTATGCTCTGAGACCCTTCCAAAGCTACCGCCCCTCCACTGTCCAGTACTCGAGGCTTGACAAAGACTCGCCCACTGTCCCCACACGTGGGAGTGGGGACTGGCTCCACCCTGTGCCCACCCTGCAGGTGGGGTGCCCTGGCCGGGTACCTGGGGAGCTGCCCCCACTGGTCGTGCTGACGCTGTCTTCCAGCCACGTGCTGTAGACCAACGAGTCCCGCTTATGGGGCGTCCCTGAAGACGACACGCTCTCCTGGGGACGAGGTCAGGGGGCGGGGTGAGCCTGGATCCACCTAGGCCCCTGCTCACTGCACTCCACACTCTGCCCTTGCCCCCAGCAAGGAGGGAGACCATGGGAGGGACGGGGGGGGGCAGCCCTCAACTCCCACCCACTCATCAGCCGCACTGGTTCACGTTCTCGGGATAAGACACCAGGGCCAGGCAAGGCGCCTAGGAAACGCCCGCTGTCACCGCAGACTACACGCCCATCGGGTGGGGCCTCGCTCTGGCGGGCCTGCTGCACCTGCACCTGGCTGGGGGCCCTGCCAGGGAGGGGCCGCCGAAGGGCTGCTGAACGGAGAATGGCAGAAAGGTGCTGAGGGCAAGGCCTAGAGCCGCGAGAGCATGACGGGGCCCAACCTATCCGGGATTGGAACACCCAGGAAGGATGGCAGAGGAGGCATGTGAGACCCAGTCAGGAAGGGCGAGCCAAAGCGGAAAGGGGAGGCAGGTGTTCCAGACAGGCCCAGAAATGCAGTAAGCCCGGCAATGTTTGCAAAAAATGCCTGAAGTGGTAAGAGCTGAGGCCCGAGGGGCAGCAACCAGGTCCTCAGTCTAGGTGCCTGGGCTCCCGAGGGAGGGCACTGGGGAGCCAGCGAAGGAGAGAGGCAGCTGCCTCAGATGCTCCAATCACATATCGACCACACCCAGGCTCATCCTCCACCCAGAGCACCCCAGGACCCTGGGGGGCACCCTGAGTCCTAGCCTCTCACCAGGCCTGTGTCCTCCCCGTCCACACCCTCCGTCTCCTCCACCACGCTGGCGAAGCTGCTGGCACTGGATGAAGAGCGCGAGAAGTCCTTCAGCGCTTCCGCCCTCTGGGCTGCTGTCTCCGCTCTGCCACAGACAGCAGGGGTCAGCCCGGCTGCCCTGCACCTCCCCGGCCCCCACTGTCCCCCACAGACAGCAGGGCCCACAGACAGTAGGGGTCAGCCCGGCTGCCCTGCACCTCCCCGCCCCCATCATCCCCACAGACAGCAGGGGTCAGCCCATCTGCCCTGCACCTCCCAGGCCCCCACCATCCCCACAGACAGCAGGGGTCAGCCCATCTGCCCCGCACCTCCCCGGCCCCCACCATCCCCACAGACAGCAGGGCCCACAGACAGGAGGGGTCAGCCCGGCTGCCCTGCACCTCCCCGCCCCTACCATCCCCCACAGACAGTGGGAGGGAGTCCCCCACAGACAGTGGGGGGGGGTCAGCCCGTCTGCCCCGCACCTGTCTGCCCCGCACCTCGCCTCCCCGCACTGTCCCCCACAGAGGTCCCCATGTAGCCAGCGAGTGCCTCATGGCCCCCATCACAGTCCTTCTGGCTCAGAGCGCCCCGCCTGGACTCGGCTGTAGCCTTTCTCAGCCCCCACTGTCCCTCATACACGGGTCTGACCACGTCCCACTCCCACTGCGCCCACACAAAGCCCCGCTTCCTCAGCATGGTGTTCAACAGTGCTGTCCGGGGCATGTTCACATGGCCCAGGCCCTGCTCGGAGGCACCTCGGTGCTATCTTTACCAGCCCCTCTTACGGGTGAGGAGGCCCTGGGCCCAGCAGGTGGATACACAGCCTAGGGCTCCCCGCCTGGCAGGGATGGGGCCTCCACCCGGGCAGCTCTGCAGTTTGCCCTCGCAACCCCTCAGCTTGCCTCCTGCTCTCGTGTCTTCTGCCCGGAGTCTCACCTCTCTCACATCCCAAAAGGCCAATTAGTCTTTCAAAGATCAGTTAAGATCAGCCCTAGCTCTAGGAAGCCCTCCCTGACTCACCCCAGGTGGGACTGATCCTCTCCACTCGGCCCTGTAGACCTGTCTCTCCCCGTTCTTGAGACCTCTCTACCCCGTCTGGAACTGGCACGGCCCTTCAGCCCATGCCGGACCTCTCAATCTCTGCAGGGCTCAGCGTGGAGGGGCTCGGCCAACTCACAGCCATGGCCTCACTGGCCCGTTTCTGGCCCTGCCCAGCTGCAGCCCCTTCCCCGTGCAGTGACTACAGTCATCTTTTTTCTTTTTTAAGAGAGATTTTTTTGCTATAGGACACATGTGCGCGCCAGAGAGACAGAGAGAGAGAAAGTGAGAAATCACCCCCTGGGGGGATGGCCACACCGCCATCCCTTCTCCATTCTCCTCTCGGGATCTTGGGTACATACACACAAACACCTGGCGTGAGTTTAAGCTGCCGGGTCTAGGACTCGAACCGCAGTTGACTACACGGGAGCCCTGTGACAGAACCGCTATGCCCTCTGCTGGTCCTCACAGCCATCTTTTAAAAGCATTGTCCTAACTAAAATCCTTGGAAGGCTCCTTTTTGCACTTAGGATAAACTCTGAAGTGCTCCCCCAGCCTCCAAAGCTGGGAGCTGGGAGCTGGGAGCCCTGCTCCCCACTGCAGCTGGGCCCCCTGCCCAGCCCTCACTGGCGCGCCAACTGCACACTCTGCTTTTCTGTCCCTCAGATGTGCCTCGGGGCCTCCACCCCTGCTGTGCTCCTGACCTGGCGCTCTCCTCTCTGCCACGTGGTCCTAGCGGGGCTGACTCCTTACTCCGCTCCAAAGCCACTCCCCAGACCCATCTAAAGCCCCATTCCCCTGTCCCTCGGCGCACCCCTGCTCTATTTCCCACCTGTCGCTGCTGTCTGGAAATGGCGGGTTGAGTTGTTACCCTGGCCCAGCAGCCCACGAGGCAGGGCCGTGTGTGCCCAGTTCACTGCCAGATTCCAGAGCCCAGCCAAGGGCCTGGTGTGCGCAAAGCACCCAGCGGCTGCAGGTCAGAGGACCTGACTGAGTGCCTCGGCCACCCCGACACCTGAGGCGGCAGCCCCGGGCCCAGGTGGTGGGAAGGGGTGGGCCCACCACTGCCAAGGCCCCACTCCACCTGCCTTGAGCCCAACCTGTTCTTGGTGGTGGGCATCTCTGGGGAGCTCTGAGTAGATGAGTTCTCCGACTTGGGCTCCTGCGAGACGTGCCCGCTGTCTGGGGTCTTCTGGCCAGCCGGGGGGCTCTCCCTGCGGGGCACACGGGGGCAGCGGGGGGACTCAGCACTGGGCCTGGCATCAGGGTAGAATGAAGCCCTGGTCGTAAGGGGAGGCGAGGGGCACTCCCTGCCTCGTACCCACACCTTGCATCCTCAGGGGCCAATGACAGCAGTCCCCGCGGGCCCCTGGCTGACCTAGCAGGTGCCGCTGGAGCAGTGTCCAAAAGGACCAGGACACTTCCAGTCCCCCTCCTCGTTCTTTTTCTTTCTTTTTTTTTTTTTTAGAGGATTTTGCTACAGGGCGCGTGCACTCGCCAGACAGACAGAGAGAGAGAGAGAGAGACAGAAAGCAGGAAATCATCGCCCAGGGGGGGTGGCCATGCCACAATCCCTTCTCCTCCGTTCTCCTCTAGGGATCTTGGGCACACACGCACACGCGCCCAGCATGAGTTTAAGCCACCGGGTCCGGGACTTGAACCATGGTCGACTATGTGGGAGTCCAGCGACATAGCCATTACGCTAACTGCTGCCCCCCACCCCCATTCTGATGCTGGGTTCAGAAACAGGAGCACACTGCCTGGGGACGCTCGGGGGCACGGCAGTGCTGAGACGTGGGCCCGAGACTGGCGCACCGAGCTCTGGTGGCAATGCAGACGGGGCCGGCTCCTTCCTAGAGCACCCTCAGTGGCCCTGGCCCTGCTTCCTGTCCTCACGGCAGCCCCATTTTTAGGTCAGACCAGTGAGGCTCAGAGAACAACAGCTTGCCCGAGGGCACACAGCCCCAGAGTGGGCAGCCAGGATGCCCACCAGGAGCCACTGTCAGCTTCCCAGGGACAGGCCTGCTGTTGGCCTGGGCTGGCTGCCACGGCAGCGACCACGGGCATGGCCCACCCCGCACCGGCACGGAGAGCGGTGCTACACTCTAATGTACACGCTGGGGAAGTCAGGGTGCTGGCGGGGACAGATGGGGCTGTGTGACCTGGGGGAGTCCCCTGACCCCTCCGACCTATGGCTTCTTGATCTGCCGAGGTGCAGACTCCGGGCAGCCATGGAATGAGTGGACGGGCCAGGCTGGCCCTGCGTCTGCACAGCAGGGACAGGGCTGCACGGTGTCTACGTGGGGAGCAGGGTGGGCACGCCCTCCTGCTGGTGCAGCTCTGCCACGCGATGGGGACGGGGAGGGGCGGAGAAGGGGCGCCGCCCCACCCACCTCTTCTCCTGCACCTCCTGTATATTCTCGATGCCGATGGCGCTGCTGCGGCGGGAGCCGAACGGGCCTGACTTCTTCCTCGTGGGGCTCTTCCCAGGGACAATCAGTGACTGTGGGGAGAGGCCCCAGCTCAGCGCCCACCTGCCCAGGGAGCCCCAGGCCCCCCACAGCCTCCCCTGGGGCCCGCTGCCCCGCCCCAAGCAGAGGCAACAAGCAAGAAAGAACAGGAAACGTCCATCTCTAGACGGCCCTGGCACGCAACCAGGGAGACAGCCCAGGAGGGCCCCTGAGCACACAGTAGGGCTGTACTGGCTCAGCCCCAGGGAGGGCCAGGCTGGGTGGGGGGAGCCGCTCTAGGCCAGGCTGGGAGGGGCCTGCCTGTTCTTGGCCCCCCAGGGTTTCGTGGGACCTGCAGCCTAAGGGTGCATGGCAAGAGTGCATGAGGGGGCACAGCAACCCCAGCCTCACCCTGAGCCGGCCCTGTCCCTCCTTGGAACCTCCAAACTGGCTGGGCGAGGTTCTGACCCAGCGGTTTCCACACACACTGTGGTGGTGCCCCAGGTGCCAGAGCCATGCCCCAGCTTCTCTGGAGCAGCAGGAAGGAGGCATGGAGGGGCAGGACCACCCAGGCCAGTTCCTGGTGGGGAGGGGAGCCTCAGGGCAGAGGAGAGGGTGCTCCATGCAGACGGGCGATATTGGGGGACGTGCAGCTGGGCGTGGGGTCTTTGGGTACCAGGGACCAGGGCAGGGCCCCAAAGCAGGTGCTGAGTGCCCTTGAGCTGCCGACCCCCCTGCATGCCCGTGGGCCTGGCCCGGGGGAAGGGGCACCGTCCCCAATATGGCCTCCGTCCTGAGAGCGAGCAGAGAGCAGCGCGTGCAGGCAGCTCCAGAGCCGGCGGCCCGCGGGCGACAACCTCTTCCACGGTTCCTATGCCTATGGCACTGCCCCGGCGTCCGAATCTACTCGCGCTTTTCCCGGGAATAAGCAATGACTGGCAAGCAGCAGAGGGCAGGGCAGAGACACAGAGAGAGAGAGTCAGCGAGAAGGCCAGGTCCGGGAGACAGAGGTGAGGTGGGGGAAGAAGGGCGAGACGGTCAGACAGAGAAAAAAGGAAAGAAGGGCAGGGGTTGGGGAGAGACAGGCGGGACGGGAAGGGGAAGGGTGAGGCCAAGGAGACAGAAGACGGAGAGATGGGACGTGTGGGGACAGTGAGGCCAGGACAGCACAGGAAGATGGGGCCGAGGGGAGCAGACAGAGGTAGGGCCCAGAGCGGATGGGCAGAGGCAGGGATGGGAGGGAAGGGGGAGGCAGAGAGGAGAATGCAAGGGCAGGGCAGTGGGAAGGTGAGGAGGAGGGGAGTGACCAGACAGGTGCAGAGGGAGAAGGCGCAGGAGTGCAGGAAGGCCCAGAGAGGCGCAGAGAGGAGAGGAGGGAGAGAGAAGGACGGAACAGCAGGAGACAGAGTGGGAGAGAAGGAAAGCCACACGAAGAGAGGGGAGTTGTGCAAAAACAAAAACAGAAATGGGTCTGGTTATTGCCATGGTGGGTGCTGCTGGCCTGGCCCTGTCCCGGGTCCCTCTGCAGCCACCCACAAGAGGCGGGGCCCCCGGTGGGAAGAAGGGAGTGCTTGGTAAATACGGGTCGGGTCGGGGAGGCTGGGCCTGTTCTTCCGACCATATGGGCTTGGTGAGGGCTGGGCAGCAGAAGCCCTGCTCTGCGCCCCTGGGCAGGCCAGACCACGGGGCAGGGATGGGGGCCTCCCTCCTGCCATGTGACACAGCCTTGCAGCGCTGAGCGCAGGACTTGGCATGCAGCAGACAGTAAACGACGGCTGGCTGGATGGGTGGATGATGGGAGCAGAGCGGTGGGTGCAGCGTCCGGGGTGGCCACTAGGCGGCGGCAAGCGGGGAGGCCCAGGACTGTGGGCCTATTCCACCGTGGGCAATGCCCGAGTGTGAGCAGCGGGATCCCACGGAGCTGGCAGTCACCACCCAGGAGAGGCCTCCACAGAAGCCTGGCTCCTGACACACAATGGGAGCACAGCCACAGAGGCCCTGGCTGCTGCAGACACAGTGGAGGGGCTCACAGGGCATGCTGGCAGAGCAGCTCACTTCCCGACACACAGTAGGTGCTCACTGATCTCCACGGCTTAGCACACAGGAGGTGCTCGGACGGCAGTCCCTTTCCTGACAGCAGCCCAAGGCTGGGCACACAGTGGGTAATCACAGTTGTCTACACAGCAGCCCAGGGGCTGACACATAGTAAGTGCTCACAGACCTCATGGGTGAGTACTCACAGAGCTGCCTACAGAGCAGTCCAGGGCCTGGTACACAGTATGTGCTCACAGGACCTCAGGGCTGGGCAGAAAGTGGGTAATCCCGGAGTTGCCCACACAGCAGCCTAGGGCCTGATACACACAGTAGGTGATCACAGGACCAGGGATGGGCACACAGTGGGTGCTCATAAAGTGAATGTCCACATAGCATCCCAGGAACTGGCACACAGTGGGAGCTCACAGGACCTCAGGGCTGGGCACACAGTGGGTGCTCACATGGTGTATGTCCACACAGCAGCCCAAAACCTGGCACACAGTGGGAGCTCACAGGACCTCAGGGCTGGGCACACAGTGGGTGCTCACACGGTGCATGTCCACACAGCAGCTGGGACCGGACACACAATGGGAGCTCCCGAATATCTAGGTTCAACAGAAGGTACCCACACAGCAGCCCAGTTCCCAACACAAAACAGACAGTAGGTTTTCAATAACATAGAAGCTGTCCTGAAGCTACCTGCAGAAAGTCACACCTGACTGAATAAGGGGCTAGGAGGAGGGGAGGGACAAGGAGCCAGGGAGGGGCTGCAGGCTCTCAGCACCACAGTTAGGCTGGTCCTTGACCTCCATAGAGTGGCTGGTCTGAACCCAGAGTCCAGGATGGGCACGTGGACAGCAGGCCCAGGACAAACGTGGGACCAGATCTTGGCAGGGTCCCAGGGCAGGGGTGGGTAGGATAGGGTCAGGGGAGCACTCACTATTCCCGCCGCCTTGGCCAGGTCGGGGTTGTTGGGTGCGAAGCTTCCACTGTGGCTGGTGGACACGGTGCTGGGCTTCTTGTTACTCAGCCCCATGGCGTCCATGGACTGGCTGCGGCTCCGGATGACTCGCTGCGAGGTGAAGGGGCCACACAGGCACAGGTTCAAGAGGCCTCTCTCCCCAGGAGCCCAGGAGCCCAGGAGTCCAGGCCCTGTCCTCCCCATCAAAGCCATTCTGGGTGATCCCAGAAAATCCTTCCCCTTCATGAGGCCTCGGTTTCCCTATGGGCCATGTAAGAGTCGGATGTACATAGTGCCTGAGGGTCACGTGGGTGCCCCAACTTGCTGGCGGCCATGGGCAAGCCGCTCCCCTTCCGGAGCCTCAGAGCCACGTGAGACCCTGTGTGCAGCCTCTCCCTCACGTGGCTGTGAGGGCTGCAGAAGGTGTCAGGCCACAGCACCCCCAGAAAGCTGGGCTTCTTTCCTTCTAGGGTCTCTTAGGGCTTTCCTCCTTTCCTCCTCTCTCACTCGTTTCCTGCCTTTTCTTTTCTTTTTTTTTTTTTTCTTTTTTCCTTTTGGAGAGGTTTTTCACTATAGGTTTTTATTTTTTTATTTTTTATTTTATTTTATTTTTTTGAGAGGTTTTTGCTATAGGGTGCATGCGCTCGCCAGACAGACAGAGAGAGACAGAGAGACAGAAAGCGAGAAATCACCCCCCAGGGGGGATGGTCACGCCGCAATCGTTCCTCCATGCCACCCCATCGGGATTTGGGCAGGCACACATGCCCACCCAGTGTGTTCTGAAAGCCACCGGGTCCGGGACTCGACCCACGGTCGACTATGTGGGAGTCCAGCGACATAGCCATTATGCTAACTGCTGGTCCCGCTACAGGTTTTCACTACAGGGCACGTGCGCTCGCCAGACAGACAGAGAGAGACATAGAGACAGAAAGTGAGAAATCACCCCCCAGGGGGGACGGTCACGCCGCAATCCCTTCTCCTCCACTCTCCTCTTGGGATCTTGGCACGCACGCACACATGCCAGGCGTGAGTTTTAAGCCACCGGGTCCGGGATGCGAACCACGGTTGACTACGTGGGAGTCCAGCAACATAGCCATTACGCTAACTGCTGGTTCCCATTTCCTGCCTTTTCTCAGACCAAACTATACCAAATGCTTCTCTGAAGTTCACTGTCGTTTAGTCCACGCTATGAGGTGAAGACTATCATGCCCATTTTACATGGCATGAAACTGAAGCGCAGTGTGAGGGGAGCCTACAACCCATCTGCTGACTCCCAGGCCCTGAACTGTGGTCTCTGAGCTATTCTTCAACCTAATCTAGGCCCACACCTGGCACTTTCTCTCCAGATGTGAGATTGCTGGGGCTCTCCTCAAAGACCCCCTACCTGTTCCCCTTCTTAAGGGGTGGAGGAGGGGCTCTTTCAGAGCCTTTTCATGAGGATGGCTTATTCACCCTGGTTCCAGGGCAGGCCTGGGCAGCTGGGCTAATCCCCTTATGCAAACCCATAGCTCCAGCTCTGTGGCCTGCCCTGGGGTGAGGGTGAGGCCCAGCCTGCCTGGCTGGGCACCTGGGGGATGGGCAGTCCTCCTCCTATGGGTGGAGAGGTGGCAAAGAGGCCTTCACCTGGGGCCCTGCAGTGGGTGAGTCCAGGCTCTGTCCACAAGGAAGAGAAACTCTTGTTTCATCTGCTTCTTGCTTTGGAAAACAGTTGCTAAGGCAATGGGAAAGGTTTTGCCTTTTGCTGTTTTTTTGTGCTTTTTTTTTTTTCTTTTCTTTAAGGTTTTTATCATGGGGTGACTGTGCTTACCAAAGAGAAATGAGAAACAGAGAAGGAAAGTGAGAAATCACCCCCCATGGGGGATGGCCACACCACAATCCCCTCTCCTCCATTCTCTTCTTAGGACTTTGGGCGCACATGCACACATATCTGGCGTGATATTCAACCCACTGGGTCCAGGACTCGCACAGTTGGCTATGTGGGAATCCAGCTGCCTTAACCACCACACCATCTGTGGCCACCACACCCTGCCCTTTGCTTTTTAACTTATACTGCACTAGGTCACTTAATTGGCTCTACAAAATTCAACAACTGTATAAAGTAAGGTGCTATAATACTACTCAACAGACAAAGAGACTGAGATCCAGAGAACGCCCAAGCTGGTAAGTGGCAGAGTTGGGATTTGAATACTGGGAGTCTGGGCTCTCTTAACACTCAGTTAAACCAGGGACAGCTGGGGCAGGTCACACAGGCCAGGTCTCTCCTAGATTGTCACTCAGTTCACGTACGTGTTCCAGGAACTTTTTTTTTTCCCACAGTTAAAACAGAGTTCTCCTCCTCTTTTCTGCATGCTGATCTGGCAGCCACCACCCTTTGTACCAGCAGCACCTTGCTGTCACCCACAGGGCTCTAGCCTCCCGCAGAATTCCCAGGTGGACTCTACCTGCCTGGGTCCCCCTCCAACCATTAACTCCTCCCAAAGCCAGAGCCTCATCTTACACTCCACTCTCAGCCTCAAATTCTAATAGACCACATCCCCAAACCTAAACTCACCAGGCCTCATCCTCCCTAAGCCAAGTCGCACGCTAGACAGCCCTCACAACAGAGCACACTCTAGCCACACCCCCACGCCAATCCATTGGTTCCTCTTTCCTAGGCAGGCCCCGCCCCAGACTCCACCCCACAACAGGGCACACTGCGGTCACACCCCCATGCTGATTTATTGGCTCTTCCACCCAGCCAGGCCCCGCCCCAGACCCCACCCACAACGGAGCACACTCCGGCCACACCCCCACGCCGATCTATTGGCCCTTCCACCCCAGCCAGGCCCCGCCCCAGGCTCCACCCACACCTGAGAACACTCTGGCCACACCCCCACGCCGATCCATCCACCCCTCAGCCCCTAACAGAGCGCACACTAGCCTCATCCCCACAACAATCCATCGGCCCCCCAACCCCAGCCAGGCGCCGCCCCAGGCTCCGCCCCAACGCGAGCCACTATCCCACATTGGCCCCAGCCCCGGACTCCACCCAAATTATGCCCAGTCTTCCCTCCGGGCCAGGTAAACCTGGGCCCTTTACCTTGAAAGACTCGAAGAAGCCGCCTCCGCCGCCGCCATTCTCCATCTTGTCCTCGTCACCGCCCAAGCCCATCATCGACTGGCTGTGGATGTGCAGCTCCTCATAGAGCGTCTCCAAGAGGGCGGCCCTCGTCCGCTCCTGTGGGCGGGGCAGTTCAGGCCCTGACCACCCTCTCCGAGGGCCCGCCCTCGGACCCCTGGCAGGCCAGCAGCCCCAGGCTCCTGAGCCCTGCAAGAACTGACTGCATGTCCCCACCTGCCCCAGCCCAGGGGCACCTCACTGCCCCTGCGACGTCCCCCACTTCCTCTCCCCTGACCCAGGCCCTAGTCATCCCTCTGCGCTTTCCCTCAGAAATTCCTCCCCCCAAGGACAAGGTCTAACCCTGGCATGTCCCTCCCCAGGGCAGGGCCGAAGTGTGAGTTAGGAGTGGGTAGGGGCGCCCAGTCCCTGCTGGCCATCCTCACCTCCAGTTTGGCAAACTTCTCTGCCTTGTAGCAGGCGTACTCGGCATTGATCAGCTTAGTCAGCAAGAATTCCTGGAACTCGGGCCCCTGGGGTCCCCATGTGGAGATGACAAAGGGTGGGTTAGACAAGACAGAATTAAGGCTGAAGCTCCAGAGCCGTGCCCCGCTGGGCCTGAGGGGGTCACCTCTCCACTCTGAGAAAAGCAGCTCCTTGGGCTCAGGTCCCAGACTGTGGGGGCATCCTATGCCCTTCATGGCTGCCCGCTTTCAGGAGGGCAACCCTCATAATGTTAGGGTCTGCAGTGGGGTCTCCACTACTGCCATCTGGGGGGTTGAGGTGTGCCTTCTGAACGGGAAGAGATGGGAGCCCTTCCCCACACAGTTTGGACTGTCACTATCGAAAAGCAAACAGAAACGAGGAAAGGCCCGGTATCTGCTATGAAAAAGGCGAACGATGACAGAGCTCATTCTGTGACCTAGATCCTCCCCCCTGCAAAAAAAAGTCATTATTTCTGTCAAGACGACCAGAAAAGCCAGGCCCCAATTGTGTGGCTAGGGGGCCTGCGTGCCCTGGAACGCAGGGTTGGAGGGGCTTCGGTGCCTCCTAAGGCAGAATGTGCATCCCCACCCCACAATGTCCTGTCTGCCCAGGCTAGGGCTGGGTGCGCCTCACCTTTCTGAACACAGCGGGGTCCGGAAGTGGGGGGCCAAAGAAGGGCACGTCGTCTCTCGCGGTGACAGAGACCTGGAAGAGGGGCAGCTGTCCCTATGGAGTCTGGGCCTGCTTTGTCCCACACCAGCCACAAAACCCCTAGTTCTCCTGGTCCTGCCCCTGGGTGGGAGGCTCAGGGCCTGCTGGCTGGGTAAGTCTTTTCCACAGGGATTTCAGCCTCTCCAGCCTCTGTCCTAAACTTGAGTGGTGGGGAAAGGCAGGGGACTCAGGAGTCATTGGGACAGTGAAGGAGAGGAGGTAGAGGGAGGTGACACCAGGCCAGGAGGTGGAGGGGTGGGACTGTCTCTGAGGGGTTAAACACAGGGGCACAGAGAGGGCATGGTGAGAATTCTGCAGTTCCCTTTTCGCTGCTGGACAAACTGAGGCCAGATGGTGCCGCGGGGCCGGAGCTGGGGCCGGGGCTGGCCAGGGGTCCTGCTGAGAGCTCTGAGGTCACCCACCTTGTAGAGGGGCCCATCGGGGACCCCACCCTCAGCCTGCACCACCACGTAGGCATGCAGGAAGTTGGACGCAATCATGTCGGGCACAAAGGGCGTGTTCTCATCCTGGAAGACCACGGCGACGATGTCATTCCCGATGTGCCGCTTCCGCTGCAACTGAGCACAGGGCCACGGCCTTCACAGACAGGCCTGCCGCGGCAGGTGCCCGTGGGAGCTTGGGAGGTTGGGCGGGCAGGGGCTATGTCTAAGGATGCACTTCTCTCCCCCCAGAACAGTGGTGAAAAACTTGTCTCAAAATTATTCTAGCAGGTTGCGTGATGATTAAGGAGCTGGACTCCCACATGGCTGACTGCAGTTTGAGTCCTGGACCTGGCAGCTTGCTTTCTCGCATTCTCTCTCTCTGGGCAAATTAAAAATTAAATAAATAAATAAATAAATAAATAATTCTTTTTAAAAAATTACTGTTGTTTTCTTGAACTGCTGTGACAGATGAGGAAACTGGGGCCAAGAGGGGAACAACTCGCAAGGTCCAGCAATGAGCTAAGAGACGCGAAGCCAGTCTTCTGGTCCCCGGCCTGACGTGTCAGCCCCTCTCCTCTCTGAATAAGCCAAACACGGTCCACACAAGTGCTACTCATGTTGCCAAGATGGACAGAGACTTAGCGAAAGGAAATAAAAAGACACTAAAAATAAGCTATAAATGTTTCCGTTTTCCTCACATCACTCTTCGATCCCCCTGGACTGGGGATGAGGAACAAGGCAGATGACCCCATAGGAAGCTTAGGTCAAGATGACAAATGTCTGAGTTCAGTTCCCAGAACCTCCCTGATTTCCCCCAAGCTAGGCCTGTGCGGAAGCCGTTCTCTCCTCCTCCTCCCCAGCTCCTCCGAAGCCCAACTTCACTTGATCCTGAAAGCTTTTCCAGATTCCCGCCTCTGCCAAGACTAGGGTCTCACATGACCTATTGCTGCCCTTGACTCCCTCTAGAGACACTAGCCCCCAGGGCCAGCAGGTGGCATGGTGGTTGGGCTGCTGGACTCCCACAAGGCCAGCCATGGTTCAAGTCCTGGACCTGGTGGCTTGCTTTCTCACTTTCCTTTTCTCTGTCTCTCTCTGGTCAAATAAGAAAACAAACAAACAAAACTACTAATAGCAAATAAGGTTAAATACATAAATAATTTTAAATATGTATATACACACATATAAAAGAAACACTAGCCCCCGATTCCGGAGCTCTTGCTAAGGACCAAGTAGTCTATGACCGCCCCCTCGTTTACACTGGTCCAGAGGTAGATGCTGGTAGCGCTCTAACTGCAGCGGCGCGGAAACTGCGGCTTTCACGGCATCGTGGCAGCCTCTCCCTTGCCCTAGCCAGCCCACAAGTCGGGGACCGAATCATTTCCTCCTCTGTATCCCAAGACCCAGCACCAAGCCTAGTGCGATGGACGCAGAATGGACAGATGGGTAGATGGGAGGACAGGCAGACGGGTGGGAAGCAGGTGGGTGGGTGCCCAGGCTACCTGCTGGGCGTCCCCTTCTGTGTAAGGCAGCTTGGTGGACACGTGAAACATGATCTCCTTGTTGCGGAAGTTGCAGTACACAGACTCGGTCCCCGTCTGCCCGTGGGTCACGTCCAGGCCTCCTCGGAACCTGCCCCCAGGCCCCCCAGGCCCCGGCTCAGTCTCCAGCCCCAGCCAGGCCACCACGGGGCCAGGAGCAGGGGCTGCCTCCCTGCCCGGGGCTCAGACCCCACCCTGCTCTCCCACCTGGGCACTCACCCTTTGAAGTCCTGCAGTTTGACCTTCTGGCCAAGAAACTCCAGGAACTCGACGAAGGCAGGGCTCTCCTCGTTGGTGCTGAAGAGTTCTTCCTCGGAGGTCTGCAACCACACGGCAGAGATCCCGAGCTGGACCTCTGAGCAGCTTCTGACCAGCCCCTGCCCCACCTCACTCACAGCTGGGGCCAGAGGGAGGTCCCTGGCGGTCCCTGGGTCCCTGGGAAACTGAGGCCCCTGGAGGTGCTCTTCCTGGCCAGGGCCTGAATCCCAGGTCCAGGGCAAGGTGGGGACAGACAGGGAGGAGGTGAGCACACCTGCCCGAGCTTCTGGTAAATCACTCCGAACTTGAAGTTATTGCTGATAACGTGCTCGTCAAAGGTCACGATGAGCCGGGAAGCCTGCAGAGAGGACCACGGGGAAGGCGCTGTTTTCAAGCTGCCGTTCACCAAGCTCTTAGCCCGTATTTAACACGAGTTCGGGCACCCTGGGTGTCTTCAAAGCAAGCCCCTGAGGGGGCATCCAGCTGTCCCTTCTGCCCTCTCAACCTTGGCTTCAGAGAGTAACTTGCCTAAGGTCGACAGAACGCAAGTGTGTGTAGGACTGGGACTGGAACCCAGGTCTGCTGGGCTCCAACACTCAGGGCCTTTGCTTCTGAGTTCTGCCTTGAGGCCCTGCATCTGCCATGGCCGAGCCCACCACCTTCCACTCTGAATACTCCTTGGCTCCTCCATAAACCCACAGCCACCTTCTTGAACAGGCTGTGTCTTACCAACTCGTGGTGAGGCCCTCGGCAAGTTCTCCTTACCTTGGACCTCAGTTTCCCCTCTGTAACTAGGAATGGGACTTGTCTTCTGAGACCCCCCTTCCTGCAGGACACCTTTCCCGAACCACACCTTGCCTCAAGGTCCTCAGCTGCTCTAGAATTCAGCCAGGGTCACAGGATTTACGTGTTTTAGAGGTCTTCCTCTTCCAGGAAGCCTCCCTGGCTCATGGAAGACAGACACCCTGCCCCGATTCCCACCGTAGAGTGCCTGGACTCAGCACACAGTGGCTGAGCTAGAGTGCAACCGCCAGCATTTACAGGGTAAC